TCTAATAGGGAAGTTTGTGACAGTGGTTAAACAAATATATAGAGCAAATTTCTGGGCACATATGTTTCACGGACATGTTTACACTAATATGTACATTGCAGAGATGATTTTACATCCTTATCTTGTTGAAATAAACGTGTATTAGCAATCACGTAAAGTAGAAAAAAATAATTCCTTCACTTTAGGAATACATGCTATGTAAAAACTACAAAGATGCACAAAAGCTAATACTATGTTTTGCGAAACGTACTCAATCCTAACATCAATGCTGTTGTTGAGAACGCACTTGTACCGGGGCCGTAGAAGGTAGCACGAAGTCGTTTGAACTATGAGTAGCAAGTACTATGTTACCAGCAACGCGCACTGTTAAAGCAGTCGCAACTACAACAACAACAAAGGCTGGCTATAATTGCAAATAACTAAGTACGAAAGCGTTCTGACATGCACAAGTAAATATGCTACAATAATATATTATTACACTCTGTACAAATTCCTATTTCGATGTAGGTTACATATATTGGCTTATTTCACCATTGTCTTCTTTAACATATTGTTATTACATATGTTATTTAGCTGTGTGCTTATGTGTAGCGGGGAACAGGGTGGTGGCAGAAGAAGAGGACGTTCGGCTTGTGGCAAGAGGTAGGGACAAACAAACTAACAAACCTCTGCTGCGCGTACACTGTATACCTTCGAGTCGACCGTTACGTCACCTTGGAATAAACCCCTCTCGTAGACTGAGAGTGGTGGAGGTGCTGCGTACGGCATGTCAACGTACCACGGAGCCACAGCTGTTCAAACTTTGCCGGAGCCGTTGTCTTGCCAGTACCGATCAGCTTGTGAGCATAACTATAGGACTCTCCATCGGGGTTGTAGCTCAGATGTAGAGCGCTCGCTTGCATGCCGAGAGGGTACTGGGATCGGTACCCAGCACCTCCAGGACCTTTTTTTATTCATTGCTGTGGCAGGTCCATGCTTTGCTTGATTATAAAACAAACAAGCGCGGCGATACAGCACCGTCGACGGCGAGAAAACCAGTTCTCAGTTGACGCGGCTTCCCTCTTTCTCCAAAATATTCGTCACGTAATTACCGATCAGCTTGTGAGCATACTATTGACCCTCCATCGGGGTGTAGCTCAGATGGTAGAGCGCTCGCTTAGCATGCGAGAGGTACTGGGGATCGATACCCAGCACCTCCAGTCCTTTTTTTTATCATTGCTTTGGCAGGTCATGTTTGCTTGTTTATAAAACAAAACAGCGCGCGATACAAGCAGCCGTCGACTGCGAGAAAACCAGTTCTCAGTTGACGCGGCTTTCCTCTTCTCCAAAATATTCGTCACGGTATTACCGATCAGCTTGTGAGCATAACTATGGACTCTCCATCGGGGGTGTAGCTCAGATGGTAGAGCGCTCGCTTAGCATGCGAGAGGTACTGGGATCGATACCCAGCACCTCCAGTCCTTTTTTTATTCATTGCTTTGGCAGGTCATGTTTCGCTTGTTTATAAAACAAACAGCGCGCGATACAAGCAGCCGTCGACGCGAGAAAACCAGTTCTCAGTTGACGCGGCTTTCCTCTTTCTCCAAAATATTCGTCACGTAATTACCGATCAGCTTGTGAGCATAACTATGGACTCTCCATCGGGGGTGTAGCTCAGATGGTAGAGCGCTCGCTTAGCATGCGAGAGGTACTGGGATCGATACCCAGCACCTCCAGATCCTTTTTTTTATTCATTGCTTTGGCAGGTCATGTTTCGCTTGTTTTATAAAACAAAACAGCGCGCGATACAAGCAGCCGTCGACGCGAGAAACCAGTTCTCAGTTGACGCGGCTTTCCTCTTTCTCCAAAATATTCGTCACGTAATTACCGATCAGCTTGTGAGCATAACTATGGACTCTCCATCGGGGGTGTAGCTCAGATGGTAGAGCGCTCGCTTAGCATGCGAGAGGTACTGGAATCGATACCCAGCACCTCCAGACCTTTTTTTATTCATTGCTGTGGCAGGTCATGTTTTGCTTGTTTATATAAACAAAACAGCGCGCGATACAAGCAGCCGTCGACGCGAGAAAACCAGTTCTCAGTTGACGCGGCTTCCATCTTTCTCCAAAATATTCGTCACGTAATTACCGATCAGCTTGTGAGCATAACTATGAGCTCTCCATCGGGGGTGTAGCTCAGATGGTAGAGCGCTCGCTTAGCATGCGAGAGGTACTGGGATCGATACCCAGCACCTCCAAGCCTTGTTTTATTCATTGCTGTGGCAGGTCATGCTTTGCTTGAGTTTATAAACAAAACAGCGCGCGATACAAGCAGCCGTCGACGCGAGAAAACCAGTTCTCAGTTGACGCGGCTTCCTCTTTCTCCAAAATATTCGTCACGTAATTACCGATCAGCTTGTGAGCATAACTATGGACTCTCCATCGGGGTGTAGCTCAGATGGTAGAGCGCTCGCTTAGCATGCGAGAGGTACTGGGATCGATACCCAGCACCTCCATACCTTTTTTTATTCATTGCTGTGGCAGGTCATGTTTGCTTGATTTATAAAACAAAACAGCGCGCGATACAAGCAGCCGTCGACGCGAGAAAACCAGTTCTCAGTTGACGCGGCTTCCCTCTTTCTCCAAAATATTCGTCACGTAATTACCGATCAGCTTGTGAGCATAACTATGGACTCTCCATCGGGGGTGTAGCTCAGATGGCAGAGCGCTCACTTTGCATGCGAGAGGTACTAGGATCGATACCCAGCACTTCCAGAGCTTTATTTTTATTCATTGCTATGGCAGGTCATGTTTTGCTTGATTTATAAAACAAAACAGCGCGCGATACAAGCAGCCGTCGACGCGAGAAAGCCAGTTCTCAGTTGACGCGGCCTCCCTCTTTCTCCACAAAATTCGTCACGTAATTACCGATCAGCTTGTGAGCATAACTATGGACTCTCCATCGTGGTGTAGCTCAGATGGTAGAGCTCTCGCTTAGCATGCGAGAGGTACTGGGATCGATACCCAGCACCTCCAGACCTTTATTTTATTTTTTTATTCATTGCTGTGGCAGGTCATGCTTTGCTTGATTTAAAAAACAAAACAGCGCGCGTTACAAGCAGCCGTCGATGCGAGAAAACCAGTTCTCAATTGACGCGGCTTCCCTCTTTCTGCAGAAGTTTCGTCACGTAGTTACCGATCAGCTTGTGAGCATAACTATGGACTCTCCATCGGGAGTGTAGCTCAGATGGTAGAGCGCTCGCTTAGCATGCGAGAGGTACTGGGATCGATACCCAGCACCTCCAGACCTTTTTTTATTCATTGCTGTGGCAGGTCATGCTTTGTTGGATTTATAAAACAAAACAGCACGCGATACAAGCAGCCATCGACGCGAGAAAACCAGTTATCAATTGACACGGCTTCCCTCATTTTCCAAAATATTCGTCACGTAATTACCGATCAGCTTGTGAGCATCACTATGGACTCTCCATCGGGGGTGTAGCTCACATGGTAGAGCACTCGCTTAGCATGCGAGGGGTACTGAGATCGATACCCAGCACCTCCAGACCTTCTTTTATCCATTGCTGTGGCAGGTCATGCTTGCTTGATTTATAAAACAAAACAGCACGTGACACAAGCAGCCGTCGACGCGAGAAAACTCAGTTCTCGAGTTGACGCGGCTTTCGCTCTTCTATAAATATTCGTCAACGTATTTAACCGATCAGCTTGTGAGCATACGTCATGGACTCTCACTCGGGGAGTGTAGCTTCAGTGGTAGAGCGCTCTCGCTTCGCATGCGAGAGGTACTGGATCGATACCCAGCACCTCCAGTCTTACCTTTTTTTTTATTCATTGCTGTGGCAGGTCATGTTTGCCTTGATTTAATTCAAAACAAAACTAGCGCGCGATACAAGCAGCCGTCGACGCGAGCAAACCAGTTCTTCAGTTGACGCGGCTTTCCCTCTTTCTGCCAGAAGTTTCGTCACGTAATTACCGATCACCTGTGAGGCATAACTATGGACCTCTCCATCGGGGGTGTAAGCTCAGATGGTAGAGCGCTCGCTAGCTAGCGAGGAGGTACTGTGAATCGATACCCAGCACCTACCAGACCTTATTTTTATTCATTGCTGTGGCAGGTCATGCTTTGCTTGAGTTATAACAAAACAGCGCGTGATACAAGCAGCCGTCGACGCGAAAAAATCAGTTCTCAGTTGACGCGGCTTTTCCTCTTTCTCTGAAATATTCGCAACGTAATTACCGATCAGCTTGTGAGCCTAACTATGGACTCTCTATCGGGGGTGTAGCTCAGATGGTAGAGCGCTCGCTTAGCATGCGAGAGGTACTGGGATCGATACCCAGCACCTCCAGACCTTTTTTTATTCATTGCTGTGGCAGGTCATGCTTTGCTTGATTTATAACAAAACAGCGCCCGATACAAGAAGCCGTCGACGCGAGAAAAACCAGTTCTCAGTTGACGCGGCTTCCCCCTTTCTCCAAAATAAAAACAGCGCGCGTTACAAGCAGCCGTCGATGCGAGAAAACCAGTTCTCAATTGACGCGGCTTCCCTCTTTCTGCAGAAGTTTTGTCACGTAGTTACCGATCAGCTTGTGAGCATAACTATGGACTCTCCATCGGTAGTGTAGCTCAGATGGTAGAGCGCTCGCTTAGCATGCGAGAGATACTGGGATCGATACCCAGCACCTCCAGACCTTTTTTAATATTCATTGCTGTGGCAGGTCATGCTTTGTTGGATTTATAAAACAAAACAGCACGCGATACAAGCAGCCATCGACGCGAGAAAACCAGTTATCAATTGACACGGCTTCCCTCTTTTTCCAAAATATTCGTCACGTAATTACCGATCAGCTTGTGAGCATCACTATGGACTCTCCATCGGGGGTGTAGCTCACATGGTAGAGCACTCGCTTAGCATGCGAGGGGTACTGGGATCGATACCCAGCACCTCCAGACCTTCAAACCAGTTATCAATTGACACGGCTTCCCTCTTTTTCCAAAATATTCGTCACGTAATTACCGATCAGCTTGTGAGCATCACTATGGACTCTCCATCGGGGGTGTAGCTCACATGGTAGAGCACTCGCTTAGCATGCGAGAGGTACTGGGATCAATACCCAGCACCTCCAGACCTTCTTTTATCCATTGCTGTGGCAGGTCATGCTTTGCTTGATTCATAAAACAAAACAGCACGTGATACAAGCAGCCGTCGACGCGAGAAAACCAGTTCTCAGTTGATGCGGCTTCCCTCTTTCTCCAAAATATTCGTCACGTAATTACCGATCAGCTTGTGAGAATAACTATGGACTCTCCATCGGGGGTGTAGCTCAGACAATAAAGGAAGAAAAAGGGGTGTAGCTCAGATGGTAGCAGTTCTCAGTTGACGCGGCCTCCCTCTTTCTCCACAAAATTCGTCACGTAATTACCGATCAGCTTGTGAGCATAACTATGGACTCTCCATAGGGGGTGTAGCTCAGATTGTAGAGCGCTCGCTTAGCATGCGAGAGGTACTGGTATCGATACCCAGCACCTCCAGACCTTTATTTTTATTCATTGCTATGGCAGGTCATGCTTTGCTTGAGTTATAAAACAAAACAGCGCGCGATACAAGCAGCCGTCGACGCGAGAAAACCAGTTCTCAGTTGACGCGGCTTCCTCTTTCTCCAAAAAATTCGTCACGTAATTACCGATCAGCTTGTGAGCATAACTATGGACTCTCCATCGGGGGTGTAGCTCAGATGGTAGAGCGCTCGCTTAGCATGCGAGAGGTACTGGGATCGATACCCAGCACCTCCAGACCTTTTTTTATTCATTGCTTTGGCAGGTCATGTTTGCTTGATTTATAAAACAAAACAGCGCGCGATACAAGCAGCCGTCGACGCGAGAAAACCAGTTCTCAGTTGACGCGGCTTCCTCTTTCTCCAAAATATTCGTCACGTATTACCGATCAGCTTGTGAGCATAACTATGGACTCTCCATCGGGGTGTAGCTCAGATGGTAGAGCGCTCGCTTAGCATGCGAGAGGTACTGGGATCGATACCCAGCACCTCCAGATCCTTTTTTTATTCATTGCTGTGGCAGGTCATGCTTTGCTTGATTTATAAAACAAAACAGCGCGCGATACAAGCAGCCGTCGACGCGAGAAAACCAGTTCTCAATTGACGCGGCTTCTCTCTTTCTCCAAAATATTCGTCACGTAATTACCGATCAGCTTGTGAGCATAACTATGGACTCTCCATCGGGGGTGTAGCTCAGATGGTAGAGCGCTCGCTTAGCATGCGAGAGGTACTGGGATCGATACCCAGCACCTCCAGACCTTTTTTTATTCATTGCTGTGGCAGGTCATGCTTTGCTTGATTTATAAACAAAACAGCGCGCGATACAAGCAGCCGTCGACGCGAGAAAACCAGTTCTCAGTTGACGCGGCTTCCCTCTTTCTCCCAAATATTCGTCACGTAATTACCGATCAGCTTGTGAGCATAACTATGGACTCTCCATCGGGGGTGTAGCTCAGATGGTAGAGCGCTCGCTTAGCATGCGAGAGGTACTGGGATCGATACCCAGCACCTCCAGACCTTTGTTTTTATTCATTGCTGTGGCAGGTCATGCTTTGCTTGATTTATAAAACAAAACAGCGCGCGATACAAGCAGCCGTCGATGCGAGAAAACCAGTTCTCAGTTGACGCGGCTTTCCCTCTTCTCCAAATATTCGTCACGTAATTACCGATCAGCTTGTGAGCATAACTATTGACTCTCCATCGGGGGTGTAGCTCACAAGGTAGAGCGCTCGCTTAGCATGCGAGAGGTACTGGATCGATACCCAGCACCTCCAGATCCTTTTTTTATTCATTGCTGTGGCAGGTCATGCTTTGCTTGTTTATAAAACTAAAACAGCGCGCGATACAAGCAGCCGTCGACGCGAGAAAACCAGTTCTCAGCTGACGCGGCTTTCCTCTTTCTCCAAATATTCGTCACGTAATTACCGATCAGCTTGTGAGGATAACTATGGACTCTCCATCGGGGGTGAAGCTCAGATGGTAGAGCGCTCGCTTAGCATGCGAGAGGTACTGGATCGATACCCAGCACCTCCAGATCCTTTTTTTATTCATTGCTGTGGCAGGTCATGTTTGCTTGTTTATAAAACAAAACAGCGCGCGATACAAGCAGCCGTCGACGCGAGAAAATCGGTTCTCAGCTGACGCGGCTTCCCTCTTTCTCCAAAAGTTTCGTCACGTAGTTACCGATCAGCTTGTGAGCATAACTATGGACTCTCCATCGGGGGTGTAGCTCAGATGGTAGAGCGCTCGCTTAGCATGCCAGAGGTACTGGGATCGATACACAGCACCTCCAGGGCCTTTTTTTATTCATTGCTTGGCAGGTCATGCTTTGCTTGAGCTATAAAACAAAACAGCGCGCGATAGAAGCAGCCGTCGACGCGAGAAAATCGGTTCTCAGCTGACGCGGCTTCCCTCTTTCTCCAAAATATTCGTCACGTAATTACCGATCAGCTTGTGAGCATAACTATGGACTCTCCATCTGGGGGTGCTAGCTCAGATGGTAGAGCGCTCGGCTTAGCATGCGAGAGGTACTGGGATCGATACCCAGCACCTCCAGACCTATTTTATTCATTGCTGTGGCAGGTCTAGCTTTGCTTGAGGTATAAAACAAAACAGCGCGCGTTACAAGCAGCCGTCGACGCGAGAAACCAGTTCTCAGCTGACGCGGCTTCCTCTTTCTGCAGAAGTTTCGTCACGTAGTTACCGATCAGCTTGTGAGCATAACTATGGACTCTCCATCGGGGGTGTAGCTCAGATGGTAGAGCGCTCGCTTAGCATGCGAGAGGTACTGGGATCGATACCCAGCACCTCCAGACCTTTATTTTATTCATTGCTGTGGCAGGTCATGCTTTTGCTTGATTTATAAACAAACAGCGCGCGAGACAAGCAGCCGTCGACGCGAGAGAAAACCAGGTTCTCAGTTGACGGCGGCTTCCCTCTTTCTCCAAAATATTCGTCATTTTATTCATTGCTATGGCAGGTCATGCTTTGCTTGATTTATAAAACAAAACAGCGCGCGATACAAGCAGCCGTCGACGCGAGAAAGCCAGTTCTCAGTTGACGCGGCCTCCCTCTTTCTCCACAAAATTCGTCACGTAATTACCGATCAGCTTGTGAGCATAACTATGGACTCTCCATCGGGGGTGTAGCTCAGATGGTAGAGCTCTCGCTTAGCATGCGAGAGGTACTGGGATCGATACCCAGCACATCCAGACCTTTATTTTATTTCATTGCTGTGGCAGGTCTTGCATTGCTTGATTTAAAAAACAAAACAGTGCGCGTTACAAGCAGCCGTCGATGCGAGAAAACCAGTTCTCAATTGACGCGGCTTCTCTCTTTCTCCAGAATATTCGTCACGTATTTACCGATCAGCTTGTGAGCATAACTATGGACTCTCCATCGGGGGTGTAGCTCAGATGGTAGAGCGCTCGCTTAGCATGCGAGAGGTACTGGGATCGATACCCAGCACCTCCAGACCTTTTTTTATTCATTGCTGTGGCAGGTCATGCTTTGCTTGATTTATAAAACAACAGCGGGCGATACAAGCAGCCGTCGACGCCGAGAAAACCAGTTCTCAGTTGACGCGGCTTTCCTCTTTCTCCAAAATATTCGTCACGTAATTACCGATCAGCTTGTGAGCATAACTATGGAACTCTCATCGGGGGTGTAGCTCAGATGGTAGAGCGCTCGCTTAGCATGCGAGAGGTACTGGGATCGATACCCAGCACCTCCAGACCTTTTTTTATTCATTGCTGTGGCAGGTCATGCTTTGCTTGATTTATAAAACAAAACAGCGTGCGATACAAGCAGCCGTCGACGCGAGAAAACCAGTTCGCATCGTGACGCGGCTTCCTCTTTCTCCAAATATTCGTCACGTAGTTACCGATCAGCTTGTGAGCATAACTATGGACTCTCCATCGGGGGTGTAGCTCAGATGGTAGAGCCTCGCTTAGCATGCGAGAGGTACTGGGATCGATACCCAGCACCTCCAGACCTTTTTTATTCATTGCTGTGGCAGGTCATGCTTTGCTTGATTTATAAAACAAAACAGCGCGCGATACAAGCAGCCGTCGACGCGAGAAAACCAGTTCTCAGTTGACGCGGCTTCCCTCTTTCTGCAGAAGTTTCGTCACGTAATTACCGATCAGCTTGTGAGCATAACTATGGACTCTCCATCGGGGGTGTAGCTCAGATGGTAGAGCGCTCGCTTAGCATGCGAGAGGTACTGGGATCGATACCCAGCACCTCCAGACCTTTTTTTATTCATTGCTGTGGCAGGTCATGCTTTGCTTGATTTATAAAACAAAACAGCGCGCGATACAAGCAGCCGTCGACGCGAGAAAATCAGTTCTCAGTTGACGCGGCTTCCCTCTTTCTCTAAAATATTCGCAACGTAATTACCGATCAGCTTGTGAGCATAACTATGGACTCTCCATCGGGGGTGTAGCTCAGATGGTAGAGCGCTCGCTTAGCATGCGAGAGGTACTGGGATCGATACCCAGCACCTCCAGATCCTTTTTTTTATTCATTGCTTGGCAGGTCATGTTTCGCTTGTTTATATAAACAAAACGCGCGCGATACAAGCAGCCGTCGACGCGAAGAAAACCAGTTCTCAGTGACGCGGCTTTCCTCTTTCTTCCAAAATATTCGTCACGTAATTACCGATCAGCTTGTGAGCATAACTATGGACTCTCCATCGGGGGTGTAGCTCAGATGGTAGAGCGCTCGCTTAGCATGCGAGAGGTACTGGGATCGATACCCAGCACCTCCAATCCTTTTTTTTATTCATTGCTTGGCAGGTCATGTTTCGCTTGTTTTATAAAACAAAACAGCGCGCGATACAAGCAGCCGTCGACGCGAGAAAACCAGTTCTCAGTTGACGCGGCTTTCCTCTTT